CTGCCTCGTAAATGCCTGTGCCTTTCAAACTCCATGTTCTCAGTTTGTAACACAGGTTTTTTGTTCAAAATTTAAAGTATCCAAGCCCAAGGCGAGATGATGACATCACTGTGACATCATCAGGGTATTTTTTTTTCAGACTTGGCAAAGCTCCTCCAGAGATAAGTATTTAAAACTGTTTACACAGGCTGAATACTGCTCCCCAAAATGAGAACACTGATTTTCATGTGTAAAATCAGTTATTCAAGTACTTGAGTGTGCATTTAGTTACTTTCCACTGCTGCAGTAGCCTCAAAGACTCAATCACACACACACACACACACACACGCACACACCACATTAGAAATGCAGCTTCCAAGAAACCAAGTGATGCTATCTAATAAGAAGTTTTGCCCACCTCTTTCTGTCTTCTCTTCCTCTTTGATCTCTCCACCTCACTCTCTCTGTTTCCTTCTTCCCATAAGCCTCAAACTATCCATTCAACCACCCCGCCCCTCCTCTCTCTCTCCTTCTCTGTTCTCTCTGCAGCTCTGCCTCGCTCTCCTGCCCATCGAGTGTCGTGCATGTTATTTAAGTCAAGGGCGGCATTAGCATGACGATCACAGCCTTCTATCACAAGTCTTGTCTGCCAAGGCTAGAGCTGGAGGAGTGGGGCTTTTGTTATTATGGTGGAGAGAGAGCGGCAAAACATGTGGGGAGTAGAAAGAGAGAGAGAGAGAGAGAGAGAGAGAGAGAGAGAGGGGAGCTGGAGGCACAGAGACAGGAGGTCTATAAGAAATCAAAGATGATTTGTGATTACTTTAAGAAAAAGCGTATATGCGTGTGCATCAGAGAAAAACTCAATCCATTTACGTGCCATATGTTGTCGGGTTATTCCTCACTCCTGAAGAAAGCCTGCTCCTTCCTCTCAATGAAAAACAAAACCACAAGTGTGCAGAGATAGGCCTACAAAGAGACTCCAGAATCATGCCTGGATCATATACACACACACACACACACACACACACACATATATATATGCTAATTTCTGTATGAAACTCAGCAAATTCAGATCAGGCTCATGAATTCCTGCTTGTTATTCCAGATCTGATTACTCATGACTGCCTACAGGAAAAAAAAACAAAAAACATGCAACATATTGTCATCTCAGGAGCATACATGCATTTTAACAGGCGCACTCACTTCATCTCCCCCTTCTCTCCGCTCATACTCCTATTTACAAACCTATTTATTACAACAGGAAATTAAAACACAGTTAATTGTATCATAAACACACATCTGTGTTACTAAAACCAGATTAATTTTTAATGAAACAGATGCCGTCCTGGGCCAATTTCTCCCTTCGCCAACCACCGAGTTCAACCTACCGCGGCCGGCTGTCTCACAGCCACGTGGTGAAGCCTCCTTTTGCTTGACTGACTCTGAGGTGGAAATACACACTTAGCGGTTCAAAGACACACCTGGTTATTAAAGCAGTTGTAGCCTTTTATTCATTATTGATATAATCACCACTGCAGCTCATTTGGCACTGCAGCGCACACAATCGTTCTGCCGGCTGCAGACATCCGTGACTCACCTTTGATGGACACCCTGCAGTACTCATGTTCAGTCTGGGTCCTCATTGCAGACAGAGGAGGAGAGATGGGGTCTGACATTTCACATGGCTTTCAGTCAGACGAATAATCTGATGGTCGGGAGGGTGGGGAGAGAGAGAGAGAGAGAGAGAGAAAGAGAGAGACGCGGCCTTGGAACAGAAAAAAAAAAAGAATCCAGCTGAATATTAAATGCGCTCAGGTGTTTCATGGCCTGTCAAACCTGGGTGACACACAGAAGACACAGTGTCTCATTTCCTGGGTGAAGTGTGCACATGTGGATGTCTGTGCATGTATGTGTACAAGGTCCAAGGCATGCACAACACACACACACACACACCAAACACACAGTGGCAGTCAAGCCTGCTATCATTTGAATTCCTCCCCTGTGGTGGCTCCGTAAGACATCTCAATCTCCATCATGCTGTCAGAAGAAATAAACACAGTACATAGAGAACTGAGAAGAAAAAAACAGGCTTTTTCTTTCCCTCACATCCATCGTCATGTAAGTTAAATGCCTTCTCATGGACACACGCACACAAACACACACACACACACAGCAGACAAACAAACACAAGCCAAAGACGCTTTCATCCGTTGCATGGTGAAAAAATACATTTATTGGAATCTGTGTCAATGTAGAAAAAAGTGAAAACTGGCTTTAGGTTTTGTCACAGTACCACAGGTGAATATTCCAGCAGCCGTCTGGTGAGCCGAAACTAAGTCCGCAAGCTCGTTTTAGGGCAGTACATCTGCTACTGATGACAACAGAAAGGGTGGCCTACGGTGGCCTTATGGTACCAAACACGTCGTCTCTCACAGACACTGAAAAGCTCAGGCTGCTTCCTAGGACACACCACCAGCAAATACACATGTTGTACAGCAATTAACCTAGACCAATGTTCTCTCAGTTTAATGTGGGCTTCTGTGGGAGAGGCTGATTTGTTCAAATGTTTTGTTGTGATACTGTTACAAATCCCTTTCCAATAACTATAAAGTCAGGGCCGCTGACTGCCAGCATCCGAGGCGACTCAACGGAGCCTGTATTGTATGATCAATTGCGGGCCACTGTTTTATAACTCATAAACTGGGCCCATAATATCCCATTTCGTCCCGGACCCTGGAAATAACTCCACTGGCCCTGTGCGAAGCTATGAGGTTCATGCATCATCTTTGATGTCCACCAGGGCCTCCTTTCACTGTTCAGCGCCTGCCATCCAAATGAAGGGAATATCACATTAATATTTCTCTTTTCTCTGTAGAAGTCACTTTTTTTTTTCTTTTTTTTTTTAAAATTCAAATATTTCTGTCTGAACAAACATCTCTATAATAAACATACCGCAAGTGACAAGTTCTACTCTGGCAGGCCAAATGTTATAATGTGTAGTGCATTTCTATTTCTGATATGACAGGATAAGTCTCACAACACATGGCGAGTCTGCATACTTTATGAAATCAACTCAAATCGCAACAGAAAAAAAAAAAAAATGCATTTGAAAACAAAACGAGACATTTCTAAACTCAGATACTGAGTATTAACATTGAGAGGTCAGTTTTTTTTTCCCCATACAACTTTCTTTACATATAGACTTATTTTATTCTTAAATATCTTAAATCTCATATAAAATAATTCATCAGAAACCGATTCTATATACACGGACGAGAGTGCACAAGATGGATAAAGAGATGGTGTGCATGCTGACGTGGTTTAGCTAGAGCAGGGTTTGCTGTGAGGTTATATGCGCTGCTTGGGTGTACAGTTTTTTTTGTTTTTTTTTTTTTTTTTTTTTTAAAGTTTGGCTTTTTCTGATGAAATGAATGACAGGTTCTGTGTGGAGCATCGGACTCAATATCATCATTCAGAAAACAAACAACAGCTTCTAAACCAATAAATAGGCTTTCTCTTTAGAGCGGCAATTCTTCAAAGAGAATGTGACCTTCATGGTTACCAAAAAAAAAAAAAAAAAAAACCAACAAAAAAAAACAAAAAAAAAAAATCCATATTTCAACCTCTCTCCTGACACAAGTTATCTACCAAAGCAGAACTGGGAGCATTATGATTTTTCTGGACTGGATTCTAGGATAAACCTAAGCTTAATGTATTGTTAAATGGAGATTAGCAGTGGGGAAATAGTACAGTATTTGTTGGGAACTAGGCTTTTAATCCAAGAGTGTGTCAAAAATGATATATGGCAAGCTGCAGCAGTTTTATCGGGTCAAGGCAAATAATATGTTCATGGACGGGCATTCAGTTACACTGTTAAAATATAGCACATAGCTACGTACAACAAGGCATGCATGCTTTGAGGCTCTTATGAGACAAAAATAAAAAAGAGATAAAATATAAAGGGATTGCATTTGCACTGACTTCTGCCATGTGTCATTTTGTGGCTCTAGCCAATGGTGGGTGAGGTTGGCTGAAATGTTTTATTAGCTTAGGGAAAATAATCGGCGAAGTTTCCCCCAAAGTGACATTTAAGCAGCTTGTTGTTTCTTCTATAATCACATTCACACTCTCTTTTTTTTTTTTTTCAAAAAAAAAAAAAAAACGTCTGAGTGTTTGATTTTACAAAGAATCGTACGCTTATAATGTGCACGCTAGTTTTGGCAATGAACTTGCTGTGAGGACGCGGCTCTGTGTGGCACAGTGTTAATAAAAACGGCACTGGTTCCAGTGACTCCAGTGACACCAACTCTCTATTCACAATGGCCACAATCGCTGTTGCTGCTGACGCTGTTGTTAATTTACTTCTCTCCCCCGAAAAAAAAAGAGAAACACAACAGTGAAGACATCATACAGACAGCACGATCAATACCGACCTGGAAGAGGATGCTTAATTTCACTTCTCTTTTTCTGTTGCTTTGAATTTTCACAACTTAACTGGCATCCACGCATCTCTGGCAAGCGACAGCATCTTTGTATATTATTTAGAAAATCTCTAGTAGATATTCACAGTTGCTTGACTGAATGGCAAAAATACCCATGAAGTCTAAAATTGCTGGTTTAAGTCGTCTAAAACATGGATGCCAAGAGTTCTTTAAAGTACTGGAGGTTCACCGTCGTCGTAGACTATTTGATGGATTCAGATTCAGAAGTGTAAAAAAATCTTGCAGCGTGTTGCCTTTGAGCACGAACACACATATTCATACATACAACCATTCATTTTCTTGTATATATATATAGAGATCTGTAGTAATATGGGACAATGGAGATACCTTCAATTACATCTGATGGTTCATGATGTGACACATATTCCACAAATTCTTCTGGATGTTCTGTGGGTGGATGCTCTACAGGAGCGTTTACATGAGAGCAGATTTCTGTACAGTAAAACAGCACACATAAAAACATGAGGACTTTAAAATAAAAATATCCCACGCTGATTGTGATGTTTAAAATGTTATTCAATTCATTTTTTTTTTTTTTATTCTAGAAAGGGAGGCAAGGGTTTATTTTTGGCGGGACGAGGCAGGGGTGCTGCCGATCTCCCCTGTTTTTCTTTCCCACACTACACAGTAGTTTCATTCTTCCAGGGTCCAGTGCGTATATTCCCTGTGCTGTCCGAGGTGTACAGGAGTCCTTCGTGCAGACCCCCTTTTAGAATCCCATTCTGATTGGGCGGGTTCTGGGGGTAGGATTGTCTGCGCGGGGCGTGCATCTCCAGATGGTGATGTGTCGCCATCGGGTCCTCCTCGGCCACTTTGCCGCAGCCACACAGGAAGATGCCCGTGTCGCCTGCCTCCGCCGGGCACAGAGAGGGGAGGAGGTCTGCCTTGGCACAGCAGATGTGCCTGTGGCAGGGGTTATGGCACGCCAGGGCCTCATGCGTGGTGGCTGCAGCAGCGTGGCATGTGTGATGCCCATCATGGTGGCCTTCGTGGGCCAGATGTGGACAGATGTGGGCATGACGCTCATGTGTGCTGTGGGGGCTGTCAGTGTGTGAGCTGTGCACGCTGCCTCCGTCCACGCTGGAGGGGATGTGATAGGCGTACTCCCTCTCACTCCCTGCTCCGCAAGCGCCGGCGCCGGACCGGCGGCTGAGGTGACGGCCTTTAGTCCTGGTGCTGCTCTTTAGGCAGGGGTGTAACTGGATGCCCGGTCTGTAACCCTCGGGGTCAGCGTGTAGCAGTACGTGCGTTGCCGCAGGCTCCTCCTCCATAAGCTGCTGACTATGCAGGGCGGCGCAGCATGGTGTCACCGGTGCCAGGCACGTCACGTGATTTTGCGAGGACGGAAGGGCGGCGTGTTTACAGTGACCTAAACTGCCATGACTGCAGCTCATTGGTGCTTTACCTTGACACGGTGAGTCATGGTGGCAGTGGCTGTGACCATGACCATGTCCGGGGGTATCTCCATTCACGTTGACCTTGGGCCGCGCTTGAGCAGGCCCGTGGGCGCCAGAGCAGGCGTTGGCTCGTCGTCCGGGACAACAGGAGCACCAGCAATGCCAGACATCGTCACGCTTGGCACAGTGATGGATGAGGATGAAGAGGCCGAGGGTGACGGAGAAGGCACCGTAGAGGCAGCTGAAGATCATATCCAGGAAGTGGCCCTGCGACACGGCCAGTGCGCCGAAGGTCCAGGTGGCCAGGAAGAGGAAAAGGGTGAAGGCCGCCGTTCGTAACTGAGCCTTGAAGGAGTGCTCGTTAGCCAGCAGCGCAGGGTTGATGGGAACGCCTGGGCAGCCGGCGGGGCAGTGGCTCCCGCTGGGTGGAGCTGCCAGGGCTCCAGGCTCGGCTCCCTGATGACAGTGGGTGGGCACGTCGACGGCGGCCAGCCTCTGCTGCTCCTCCGTCAGCTGCTTGAGCTCATACTTCTTTTCAGGGTGTCGCCGCAGCTGGATGAAGGTACAGAGGAAGTAGATGCATGTCACCAGGACGATGAAGGCCACGGGGCCAAAGAAGGCTCCCAGGCTGGGCTCCCAGGCCATCCAGCAGCTGCAACACACACAGACACCAGTGTGTTTCAACACTTTCAACACAGCATTTATTCATTTGTTCTAACATCTATCCGCCGGCATGTGCACCTTCAAAATTTGCACCCTGTACACACAGTGCAAACAACCTTAATATAACCACACAACATCTGAGTTGTGTTTGCTCAACAGAGATATGCTAATTCATACACACACCCACCAAAGGGAAATAAAAGCTAATGGCGGAGGTGTGTGTCAAAACATGTTGTCTGCAGATACACACATGCAGCTCTGTTTTTAAAAAAATCAAATGAAGGTTTATTTTTGGAAATAATTAATAACACCTAATGATGAAAGTACTTTGTTGAGGTGTATAAAATCAACAGAGGGTGTAATTTAACCTTGAGAGCAGAAACAAATTCAGGACTTACTATGGTGCTTGCTCCCCGCTGCCATAGTTGTCAATATTGACGGCTGCCGTGACCCCGCAGATGATGAGGGGCACTCCACCACTGACTAAATAAAATCTGTGAGGTGACAGAGGGACGAACACAGGCAGAGAGAAGAAGAAGACGAAAGTATAAGACTGTGAAAAGACATTTACAAATCCCATATCTCACATCTGGATTACAACAGCACACTGTCAAAATATGACTGAGAAACACTATTCGACACAAGAGATAGATAATAACCCAAAGATCCAAATAGACAAAGTGACAGATAAGATTACAGACTTGTGCAGTGAGTGAAGCTCTCACCCCAAATAACTCTGCTTTTTCTCAACTTAAGCAACAAACCGTGACACTGAGGAACAGATGTGTGGACACATTTGTCAGATATCCTTTCTCCACTTTTCCAAAACATGACCACCCCAAAATATCTCAACACCGATGTGTGAACTTTTAAGCCTTTTTTTTTTTTTTTACAATGTGTTTGTTTATGATCACACTCCATGGGTGCGATCACACCAATTGTTTGTTTTCCTTGCTCCAAATTAAAGTCTGAAGTTTAACTAGGAAAAAACAAATCTGTTTCCTGTCGATGAAAGCTTGTCAGGACTCATTGCTTGAAATTTGCAGCAGCTGCTGTCCATGACAGCACGGAAGACGTGGAAAGAAACCTGGATTTGAGCAGAAGTGGATAGAAAACTTAAACTCAGTTTGGCTCTGTATGTGCACTGGTGACGCCTTGCATTTAGAGGTTTTATCCTCAAGTTACTTAGAATTATTTTTCTTCTTGCATGCAGACTGCAGGTCTGAAAGACAAACCAAGAAACCACCAACAACCAAAATTATAATATTATTATTATAATACATATTGTCATAATGTCCCTACTATTTCATACTATTTTACATTATCATATTTTTCTCTTTATCATTATTATTATAAATGTATTATTATTACATTCTTCCCACACACACACACACACACACACACAGACACACTTATCATTTTTATGTTGTTTTTTATGTCATCTTCATGTCTGTTCATTATGTTCTTTATATCACACCTGTTTTTGTTATATTGCCAATAAAGTTGTTACAAAAAAGAAAAAGAAAAAAAGAAAAAGTAAACATGAGCTGCATCTAAACACAGCAAGGGGCAGCAGTGGTGGGGTGTGTTTTTTCAGGTACCTATGAGATGACAAAATATAATGTGGGAAGGTCGGTTTGAGTAAATACTGTAGATCCATGAGTTTTTAGTCTTATCAGGCACAATAACACTGCACAACTGTTCATCATATACCACGAGGTGTTGAAAGTTATCACAGCGGCAATCCTTCTATCTTTCCTTGCAACAATCGGCAGAAAATAGAAACATGACATTCACGGCACAAAGCAACCAGGAACGTTGCCGCTGCCTTTGTTTTGTTTCTTTTGGCCACAGCCCTTTTGCGACAGTAACCCCTGCTGTGGTCCAAGTTTTTTTCACACAGTGCTGCAGTCTGAACACAGCCTCAAAGCACTGATGTGTGGCCATCGTGGTTGTGTTCATCCTCAGAAATGCCTCCCCAAGATGCAATTAAGCCCTTGCGGTGGAGGCTGTACATCAGCTGTACATTGCAAAAGAGATCTCGGTGTCATCAAATAAAGGTTATATGAGACTAGAAACTGATCTGAAAAAAACAACATTAATAGTGGTAGAAAGGAACTAATAAGGCATGAGCTCAACAACACGACAGTATCCCCTCCTTACCCGGGGGGATGCTGTAGTGTTGTAATATTTACATTGTGCAAAACTGGATATTTCCTTAAGGAAGATGTTCTGATGTTTCCTGGGAAACAGGTAGGTATGTGAACAATGACACTTGCGTCACAGCAAATGAACCATGAGCCTTAAGATTTCGATGCACAAACAAAGCCAATCCTCAGCAGCTCCCTCTCCGCACTGCCCTTGTCCTCCCTCTCTGCGTTGTCCTCCGCTTTCCTATAAAACACTATGCTATTTCCTCTTCCTTTCTGTTCAATCTCAACCTCTGTCACCGCTCTAACCTCTCCACCACTCCATCTTCCTCCATCTTCATCCTCGGTTTCCTCCCTTCCATCCCGTCTCTCTCTCTCTCTCTCTCTCTCTCTCCCTCTCTCTCTCTCTCTCTCTCTCTCTCCCAATCTGTCATCCGTCACACAGCAGCCGTCCCAAAAATTCAATTACAATCAAGATGTTTGTCGGGGCTGGTTGGTGAGAGGTGGTTGGGTGGTTGGAGGGGCGAGGAAGGGGGTGGGGGGGGTGGGACAGCGGTATTACTGGCCTGTCACTGTCTATGAGTGGAACAGTTCCCTCAGGGGACCCTCCTCCAACAGAAAGCCATTTACACACCCGTCAGCCAGATAAGCATAAATGAGAGGAAGAAGTAGTGGATGTTAAAGCACCCTGTGCTTTATAACCGTTCCCCTATATCTCCTCTAGGAAAGCCTCCTTGTGTTTCCTCTAGGCCTGTGCCCCAAGAAAACATGTGTAGTGTACATGCATAAAAAAATGTATAGCACGTGTGATCAAATTACAGTCTCCATGCTGCCCCGATTTTATACAAAAAGCTGCTCCATCATATTCAAATTCCTCCCAATCTTGCACACTTTCACACAGACTTTATTTGTTGTCCATTCTATTAAAAAAAGCCTTCAAACTCTAACGAAATAGCTGTGTATGCAGAGCCGTGCTTTTGAGTGAGTTTAGGAACAGTAATTATCTGATATAAATAGACCCTGAAGTGCCTTTTAGCCAGCAGCTACAGTGACTCCCCCCCAACCTTGTGCCTCAGCTGATGCACTGTCCTCTGTTTGGTGACTATGTGCTGTCCTCTCTCTGGACCTGCTCCAGGATATACATAGCACAGCTAGAGAGTCAAGTGATGGCCATAAAGCTCCAGCTCAGGGCAAAAGCTTATGGGTAAAACCAGACTATGCAACAGTAATGCATGTACTCAACCTTAGACTAAAATCTGCATGCATGAATGCCCTTTAATGAATGCTTTTTTAGAGCAATTGTTTAACACTTTGGGAAATAAGCTCCTTTGTTTATTTGCCGAGAGTCAAATGAAAATGAAGCTAGCACCAGCAGCTGCTTAGCTTAGCTTATCATAAAGGCTGGCATCAGTGTAAATCTTTCCGAAGGTAACAGAACTCGCCCACCAGCCCCTCGAAAGCTCACTAATGAACTAATTCATCACATTCAATCTAATAAACAAATTTAACAATTGACAAGTATGGTGAATGCACACTCAAAATGGTCAAAAAATCGAGTGTAAAATGATGGACACGTCTCACCCTCAACGGACGCCATCTTGCCTATGTAGCGGAAGGAGGAGGGACCAATGTATCTTCAAACTTGTGAAAACGGTGCCGGCAGCGATGGCGGCCTAATTTCCATGTGGCATGACACAGGGGGCACATTCAAGAAAATAAAACATTCATTTTGAAGTGAAGTGTGCAAAACAGCCAGCGGGCGAAATCACCTGTCACGTTTGTCATTTCTGATGAGTGCACAACGGCCGTGTTTGATTGGGCACAACACTACCCAGTTGAAATTTGCACGCTACGCCAGAGAGTATGCTGTGTACACAGTGTACTTCACGTGAGCGTACTGACTGAAATACCTGGTTTGAGGCAGAGCAAAGGTAGCTTTACCCCCATTTGCATTCGCTGAAGCTAAGCTAAGTTGAGCTTGGCCAGTCACTGGTTTAGCCCAGTGACTAACACCACTGTCAGTCACGTGAGTCGGCAAGAAAGTGACCTAGTGTATTTCCAAAAATGTTATTATTATTATTTCTGGTATATTAATTTCAATTTCTGATCTGTTTTTTTTAATGGTGATGGACATTTAATGGTTTTACAGAGATATTCTGCCATTTAATTTTTGATACACTTGATTGTACACACACTGTATCTCATGGTTCATGCGTGGTCAGCCACCCATACTAGCCATTTCTCTTTTGAAAGTCATTCTGTTTTCCCACCTGTACTTTTCAATGTGTGACTTTGCCTGTTTGCAGTTAAACATTTCTGGAGATTCTATACGAGAAGGGAAACTGTTCTCTCAAAGTGAAGTGTTGCTTCAGAGGAATGAGTTATCCCCATCACACTACAGATGACTGTCAGTTAATAGCATGAACAGAGGCGTTAAATGTGTGTGGTCCAACACGGTGAAGCAGATTTCTGACAAAGGTCAGTGTGATGGTCCACTGGATATGCCATCTGACACTGTCAGGGGTGGAGAGACAGGAAAAGAGGTAGATGAGGAGGAATAGGTTGGTTGTTGGGAGGGAGGGGGAGGGGTGAGGTGGGGATGCTCAGAGGAGAAATTGATTTGTCTCCAGCTGCTAAGTCTCATTGCATGAGCCTGTCTGACGGGGAGCATTACAGTCAATCACTGTGGATCAACTTGACTGCTGCGCCACACGATCCCACCGCGTGCCCCAAGACAAATTATCTCATTCACAAGCAGTGCATGATGGGAGAGTCTCAAGAATGTTCCATATTAACCCCCCCCCCCCCCCCCCAACAAATCACGCAGGTGTCTAAGGATTTGCTTTGCAAGGAGAGTGCTGCTTATAGGCTGAGAGGATTCTTATCTGATGGGGACCTTATCCCCAGTGACTTTCAGTGACTCTTCAGGAAATATATTATTCAGCAGATTCCAGTTTTAATAATGTCAGACATATGATGCAGCTCATTTAAAGGTTTTTATAGATATGAATTTCAGGTGATGTAGGTTGGAAATGTCCTCGGAGTGGTACATGCATCACAACCCTCTAAAACATCCCACAGAAACCAAGTCTGAGAGCATGTGAGTAGCAGGGTTCATATTCAGTGCAACTCCACATGTTTAAATCATTTTCATGTGTGGGGTCATCCGCTATGTCAAATGTTTCTTAAAGTTCATGAAAAGTCAGACAACTGGATACACTTGATATCTTCCAACAGCTTTAAGAAAATGGCAGTGAATACAAGATTTAAATGACAAACAAGCATTTGTCACGGTGCACCCTCTGTTCGCCTCTCTATCTCTGCTCTCAAACCTTATGGGATTTCTCGTAGAAGCTTCTGAAGTTCAGCTCTGCAGCACGGTTGCGCTGTTGCAAGAAGAGCTCACACAGCACCTTCTCACTGCAGAGGAAGAGCACCGCACGTGTCCAAAAGCTGATCCTCTTACACATGCCAAATGTCTCGAGTAAGCAGAGAAGGAATGAAATGGAGAAATAGTAGAAAAAAAAAAAAAAAAATGACAAAAAGCAGAAATTCAATTCTGACGTGTGCGTCTAAGCAAATAGGAATTAAATGGGTCAAAAGGTTAAATACATTTCGATTTGTGATAAAGCTCCTGGCTCAGCAGCCTCCTGGGGACCTGAGCTAATTAGTTACAGCATTGGGGTGATGCCATAGTAACAGGTTGTTTTAAGTTGTTCGCTTTTTCATCCTTCCTCCCCCTCTTCCTGACATTCATTCCTTCTTACCTTTCAGGGTAGTAGGAAGTCTCAAACTGAATAACTGAGCTAAAACATTTACTACAGACCCAGTTCAGCTACTCCAGGAAACAATGTGTAGCTATACCTGTGGGGAAACTGCAAAATCAGAGGCTTCAAAATAGTTTAAAATTACAAAAAAAAAAAACAAACAAAAAAAAACACACTCACAAGCCCGATCATTGATTCCTAACCTTTTATGTCTGATGTACTGTATATCTCTATCAGATGAGCTCAAGTACTCTTATCTTATCATTGCTACTGTCAAGTTTCAACTGTGTTCCTTTCAGTTTCAATTTCAATTTTCAGTGTTTAGGTCCATTTGGTTGACCAACCAGAAGATGGATCTGTCAAATATTGATCCTATTGTTTTAGTCAACCATTTCAGATACGATACGATACGATACGATACGATACGATACGATACGATACGATACGATACGAGAAGAGAAGAGAAGAGAAGAGAAGAGAAGAGAAGAGAAGAGAAGAGAAGAGAAGAGAAGATGGTCCTTTATTAGTCCACAGTGATGATTTCAGCTAGGGCCATCTGCAGAAACATGTTTTAGCCACTTTAAAAAATTTTATATTACTACACAGCGCACACTACTCCACAGATCAGCTGTTTGAGTCTGAAAGAACTAAGCTTAGGTGCACTTGTGTGTAGGAATACAGTAGTTCAATGGTTAAAATGTAGTTCCAAAGGAAAGGGCTGTTTGACGGCAAGATGAAGTGGTGAAAATATTCAAAATATAGCATACATTTAAACCGATATTAGCTTTTTTTTCTGTGGGCATTTGTGCCGGTGCTCCTGCTGCTTCTCCAAACTGGGAGCGTGCTGGTCCGAATCTACTACAGGTAATACACTGACTATGTGTTACAGCTGTTTTAGGTCGTAGCTGGTGGCTTACTGGTTAATGTGACAATAATTTGCCAGAGACCGTCAAACCAATTTGTAATCCTACTTGGATGCGTATTTGCCTCCCCCTCCTGAACACAATCTGTGTTCTTCTTCAAATCGTAATTTCTCTTTTTCTTTTTTTCAAATTCGTAGAAATGTTCCATTGTACCACATGCGAGTTAATGGTACTGATGAACTGATGCAAAATGTCATATAGAGTTCCCAGACAAATGCTTGTCAGTCTGATACACCTCCCTCTGTCAGAGTATTGTTGCTAAGCAGCAGTTTGCACCTTGAATGCCTGTCACCTCTAACAGGAAACTCTGATGTAAATAGGGCTCAGTTCAGAAATTTACTTATTAATAGGAATTCACTCGACTCCACTAATCTCTGGCATTTATCAGCCTAATTTTCACATTAAGTGAATCATTACCCTTCAAAACCTAAACGTCTTCCCTTGTGGCGGACAGTGACTCAGATTAAAAATGCAATTTCTTAACATGAGCAAATGTGTGAGAAATCACCAAGGAGAGCCAAATGGTATAAATAGGAAGACCTGACAGCGATGTCACTACAGAGTGAACAAAGCCAGAGGCTTGAAAGAATGCAAACTAGCTGTGGATGTCTCTGCAGATAAACGATGCAATAACTCATCTGTGTGAAGCTATTGTTGCCCTCTAAAGGAAACATGAGCCAGCAAACACCTGAAAAAAAACACATAAGCTAGTATAAATCAACAGAGACACAATTATGTATATGCTCAAACACGAACACCTCTCTGCAAGGACAGAGTAACCTGAACACAGACTTACTTAAACCACATTAATACTGGGATTTGTCGTTAAGAAGAGGAAGGAGAAAAAAAAATTACGATATAACTTAAAATCAGTGGTGGAAAGAAAGTAAGTACATTTACTTAACTATAATATTTTATAATATATGTACTTATCTGTAATTTTCATTTACTTTCCTTGAGTATTTCCATGTTATGCTACTTTATACTTCACAAAATTTCAGAGGCAAATGTACTTTTTACACCACTACATTTATTTGACTGCTATGGCTAGTTGTTACATTTAAGATTATGAGTTTAAATAACATATGATAAGTATATGAAATACAATACATGTCAAAGATTCATTTTGGATTTACGTTATTAGACTGATTTGTCCTTTAAACCTCTCAGATGGCTCCATTTAAATAGTGTTTGAGGGACTAAGGAGGTAAAACTCTCCCACAGAAGTAAAGATTCAATCCAAAGTCCAAAGAAGTTAATACAGTTTTTTGTATCACCCCTTTGTTTTTTCTTCTGACCCAAAATGATCATCTCACAACCCCACAGGTTTGTGTTTGGAGGGAGTCCGACATCTAGGCTGGGAACCAATGGACTGCACTACCAAACAAACAGTTATAACCAGCTACAACAGTGAAAGGCTGCTGACACACTGATACATCAACAGTCTAATTATCTTATATTTGTAATAATATATTAGTAATTAAAGCAATTTTCCTGCTGCTAATACTTCTGTGCTTACACTTAAGTGAAATTTTAAATGCTGGACTTTAACTTCTTCTTTAACTTCTATTGGATCAGTGTAGTAATATTGTATTAGTGTTTTTACTTAAGGATGTGAAAATGCAATGTGCGGCATATAGCTGTGATTGTGTAAGACTTGTACATCATACATCTCACAGTGTCAGTCAGGTCATATGCTGCCAAAAAAACGGAAGAAATAAAAAAGCAAATAATTGTGCAGTGAACCAGTCCTTGGCCTCTAAAGACACACACACAGCAAGCAGCAATGACAGTGCAAGAAAGATCAAAAAATACTGGTCACACACACACACACACACACACACACACACACACACACACACACACACACACACAGAGGCACAAAATACACAGAGGCACAAAATACATACACACGGCTTTTTATGTACTTTTCCGTCTACATGCAGTCAGGGTTGAGGAGGGTTGCAGGGACATTTGTTCTTACCTCAACAGGGGCTGTTTAGGGGGCGGAGGCGGGTCACCATCCTGGCTCTGCGGAGGCTTCTTGGTCACCTGCTTATAAATGTTCCTGGCTGTCACCCCGAGCCACAGCATGGTCGACAGAGACGAGTAGTGCAGCACGACCCCGACCTGAGATGGTTTGGCAGAGGAGGGTACATCATGTTATTTATATGACTTTTGTGAACTTGACATACAGTAAAAAGTCAGACTTGATTATATCACTGTAACACAAAGACAATATGTTCGGGAAGAGCTGCCACTCCTTTCTCAAAAACAATGTCACTCCAAGGGTGTCTCCGCAGACGTTTTCCTTCAACACCTGCCTGCTTCGTCTTATCCTTCACTAAAAGACAATAGTACGTGAATGGAGGGACAGGTTGAAAAAGTGCCATTGAATCATCAAGGTTGATGAGGATAAGAGCATTATGGTGAGGTTATACTGGTGGATACCGAGCAGCTCTTATCAGTTGAGTTAGAGGACATGAGGTGTGCACTGTGAATAACAAATCTGAATAAAAATGATAGTCACGTTGACAACTATCAGTGCGTGATTGTTTTTCCAAAATGCACTGTATACATATCTCTGTTCGTCTTTGTTTTAATATTCATGAATTATGTTTGAATAGGGGAGCTGATCTAACTTTGTTTAAAGGCTTTGCCAGCTCATAGAAAGACAGATGGAGAGACGGAGAGATGAGAGTTTCAGGGAAAAAAAAAAGAAAAAAAAGAGAGAGAGAAAGGGAAATGGAGGGAGAAAATTAAAATGCGTCTTTTCTCCACCTACTCAATCTGTTCATGATGTACTAGAAACCTGAGACATCCAATCAAACGCTTTCTCTGCAGCCTGAGAGGCCTAGGGACCGAAGCAAGTGTACCGGAGTCCAGATGCTAATTGGAAGTGTCCTTGCGCTGCTTATAGAGAGCAGAGAGCGGGTGGTAAGTCAATCACTGCTGCGGAGTCTGCACACTACAGAGCTTCATTAGTGCCAAGAACAGATAGCGAGGAAGTGTGTTTGTAATATGGAAATAAGAGGAGAGGAGAGGAGGGGGGGGGGGTTCTCAAATTGAGAGTATGGTGCAGATAGGGGGTCTGCACACATTGATCATAACTGGCTGATTAATGTCCTACATAAATAAGACAGAACAGCCATGTCGTCCATCTGGCAGTTTTTCAAAATTACAGATCACATGGTCGCAGTCTGCTCATCAGTCATCAAGCATATAAAGCAGTACTATATCAGTAACCCCTTAAATTCCATGTCTCAGGCTAAAAATGTCCTGTATGACCGTTTGTAAGCAGAATTTTCATATATAATATATCAGCTTGTGTTGGATAGATTTGTGCAGTGTCACATGTTTAGTGTAAGTGGTCAACAGCTGCTTATTTCCTGGGTGCACTCTATGATGTATTATGAGAAATAGTTACTGGACTCAAAGATGGCACCTTGCCACTTCAGTAAAAATTGCTCATGCAGCACATGAGCCAAAAAGGCTTTCTAGCTTCTGTGTTTGCCTTTGCTACGGCATTGGTGACGTTCGTCTCTTTTCAGTTACGACTGGGACCAAAACATAAAACACCACTTTTCACTGTTTTTCCACATAAGACATGAACACTCCAACAGAGTGTAATTTTAAGTGGGCACACACCTGGGAAAAAAATGCGGGGTTAAATGGGTTAAGTGTATTTAGATAAGACCTATAATTAATTATCACTTGGATATGATTAGAACAGTCTGCTGTACACAGTCCTATTTTGGTGTTTCACTATTCTCATCTGCTGTGTGCTTTCACCTGATGTGCCTGTGTTAATAGAGAATCTTGGTAAATACATCATTTCAGTCAGTGATGGGATCAGTGAGCAGCACAGTAATCACACAGTTAACGAAACAGGAGCTGGAAACGGCCTCAGAAAACCTGATTATTGTGTCCCCATTAAACGCTTCTATCGCCTCAGACTCACTCTGTCATCACATAGGACAGGTGTCAATAAATAAATGAAATTATTAGATTTAGATTCATGAAATTTTTGACTCTAATCTTTTTCATTTTGCATATGCACATGGTCACTTAAACAAAATGAAGAGATACAAGCTAAAGTTAGCGTGTGGTGTTGCTCTAATGTTTCTGCAGCAATACACAGCATCTACAGCCAATAATCCTACACACACACTCTATCTATCACAGCATACAGTCGACGTGTCAGTCAGAGTTAGCTATAGTTAGCTTTGCAGTGCTTTTATGTAAGTGCCCTTTTGTGATTATTTGTGTCAAACAGCAACAGACTGGACAGAGATGTCATAATCAATACAGGTCAAATCCTGATATCGTCAGTGGGAGGAGGCAGAGGATGTGAAATTAATGTGAAACGTGGAAATAATGAGTTACCACAAAAGGCTTGTTGTGCACCTTTCTGCACTTTGTGTTCTACAAACACACCAAACTGCAACAGGCAGGGAATTGTGGGCGACATTAGCCTTAATTAGTCACTGTTAGCTGTCAGCTTAATACATGAGGGAGCTATTCATTTGATATTTGTATGCTAGTTTAATTGTTTATTTAGACTACATTGCAAGATAGGATATAGTATATTGTATTATGTGTAATGTAGTACAGCAATATAGCAATAGCAATAGCAATATATCCCCCACTTAGGGGAGGAGGACATATTCCATCACTTTTTAAAATCCTGTTTTTGCTAGATATTTGCTAATGCTAAAATCTGAGTCACTTTCATTGACATCTTTTTGGTCCTGTCAGGCTACAAACAGGTTGCCCTACTTTATTAATGGCGCTTGTTGGAGCCATATGCAGCCTGAAAGCAAGTCTCCTTCCACCTCTTCTTCTACAGTGTGTGTCGATCTATCTTAATCTATAATACACTTTGTACTTTTTATCCACAGTTTATCTCCTAAAAAGACAACGGAGTTGAACATCGATCAAAGATAGGGCAGTAAAGCGCAGTGTAAAGATGGAAATGTAACATTATCTATCACAGAAGCATCAGGTCTCTGAATGAAACTGGATTTTAAATAGGATTAGTGCATAATTTTCTTTTGATGAATCCCCGCTCTCAGTGTTTAATATCAGAATAAAATAAACATTATTACACTCAGCGAGAAGAGAGAACGTGAAGTTATTAAGAGCTATTAAGAAGTGTGTTTCTCAATTAACTTCATTTTATGCCGTGGTGAATCCAAACTTTACATATCAGATGCACACAGTAGTACAATATGAAATGTTCTGTGACCATTTAATCAGAAGGAAGTGCAGACAGTGAAACGGGGCCGGCTACCACACATTACCAAGCAGCACAAAATATTCACAAAACTGTACCAATAGTGTAAAACTGTACCTTGTTGTATGCAGTATGACAGTGTGCAGCAGTGTAAAAGGGCACAGACAATACAGAAACAGTACCAGAGAGTTTTAAACTGTTCAAAACATAATAACTCTGTTAGTAAGCATAGGGGAGATATGGGTAAGCGTGATCCTTGACTATAAATCTAACATTTTAATAACCTGGAGGACAATATGTCCCTGACCATGTTGGTTCAGAACCTAATATCAACATATTGTTCTTTAAACGGTGACTAACTCACTCAGCCGTTCGGTTTTTCAAAATAAATTCCATTTAAACTTGTTTGTTATAGTTAAAATGACATCAGTGTCTACACTGACTTACTTGCAACAATCATTCTCTGCAGTTCTTCTAATACTTCAGTCATTTTAAGAGTTTATTTGGAAAGGCACCTTTTTAGCTTCAGTGTAGTGGGGCATTTCCTATAAAGAAAACACTGTCAAATGAATTGTTTCAACAATTTTAGCATATGCTAAAAGTGCTATACTCCAAAGTCCTTCTAAGCTGTCTCTATATTCATTATATCAGCTCCCTACTGTTTTCGATGCATAAGTAACCAGTCTACCGGAAGCCTTTTACATGTGGGTAAATGAGCTCAGGAACACTCAAATTGGACCCAATGAAAGTACAAAGCAAATCACTGCAGATACTGTAATGTCTAGAGCCTTTTTTTTCCATTTCGTTTTTTTTTTTTTTTTTTGCCGTCACAACTAATTTCACAGTGGCACACTAATGAGGAAATCCTCTCTATAGCATCTTTAAGCTGACAGTCAGATGTAACCTCAGATCTAGGTCACATCGTTAACTATGTTTTTTTGCTAAATAAATAAATTAATAAGTTTATTTAACGCTTCTCACACTTACTGAGCTGAAATGTGTAATCTGAATTTTGATGGTCAAGGGTAAAATGAGGTGACGTGAGGGAAAACAGGGACGTCCTGTATGTTGTTCTGCTGCTTAACACAGACAAACAGAAGATCTAACGTGACAGCTGGGGTGTTGCTCAAGTCAATGACAAAGTGGGCCTCGTTGGAGGAAGAGATAGGAATAGAGATTGGAGACGACTTTGACTTTGAGGCCATAAAGACATCGGATGCTGCACAGCGACAGAGCCTCAGTGGGCGGGGAGGCGGTGCAAGACTGAAAAGTGGCATACAGATAGAGTGTATAGGATGCAGGTGGGGATGGTAAGGGAAGGAGGGTGAGGGAGTGAGGGCTGGGTGAGAAGTGCATGCTTGAAGTGCTGCGAGAGCTGCCAAAGCTAGTTTCAGAGCTCCTTGAAGTTCCCTCTGTCGGAGGGAGAGCGTGTACTTATGTGTCCCCCTGGGAGGGGAGAAGGGGGCTGCATATGTGTGTGTATAGAGGGAAGGTAGGATGATTGGGGGGAGCACTGAGAACACAGCAGACACAGCGTGTATCCGGGTGTGCGTTGTGAATGTGTGTGTGCGTCCGTGTGCGTCCTGTGATCACACATCTCCTCAAGCAGTCCTGTAATTATCCTAAATTGTGTCTGGTGGGGCCTGCCTCCATCCCAGTGGAACAGCAGACAATCTGGGCTCCTGCCCAAATCTGCGGGGAGTTATCCTGTTAGCAGTGATTGGCTAAAGGAGGAGCAAAAAATATCCAAAGGCCCCGGGATAAAATTAGAGAAATGAATGAATGCTAAATGAGTTAAAGAGCAAGACCAGGGCCAAATAAGGTTGCCTGGCTTTGTCAACAACACCTGCACGGACGCCGCCGGAGAAGGCGTGTGCTGCACGAGCAGTTAGATTTATGGGTACTGCATTTATAATAAGGCATACTTTATGAAGTGGTTATAAGCTGTAATTAATGAACTATATAAATAAATATATTAAACAAATAAATTGTCACTTATTCGTTCTTTATAGATCAGTAGGAAGCAAATAAAAAAGAACAAATTTTGGGTTGCCATATTATAAGTGAATGTTGAATTCATTAAATTTCAATGAGCAGTTCGACCATTTATCCTCGGAAAGAGAGAATATCCACAGCAAAGTCCATCGATTAAAAAGGGATTAAAATGAACAACTGCATTTGATGTATTATTGTGGTGGAAGAATCATTTAGAAACAACTTCCTATTTTGTCAATGACTTACTTTCCAATCTCAGTTATAAATGTTAGTCAGTTAATAAAATGGGTTTGTCTTGTTTTAATAAGCAAATAAAATGTATTAAAGGAGTAGTAAATAATGAGGATACATTAATGGCATAACAGCAACCCAGAAGTAGTTTTTAATCATTTCTTTGCACTGGTCTTCAAAGTATTAAAGACACAGTGAAATAAGAAACATACGCAGCACAGTACAAGTTTGTTAACTGTTCACTTATCTGTTGTATATGACAAATAAATATCACAAACAATTTTTTTTTATATGTCAAAATCACTCTGGTTTAATCTCTTATAAACATTCAAATATTATTTATGACTCATCCTGCACTCTAGCGTGTATACTTGTACACAAATGCATCCGATCAAATGTGAACTACGGAGATTAGCTAATTCATTGCATCATTTAAAACCTCTCTGGCAGTTAGCTTGTGGGTCGTAGCGGCTAGCAGAGCAATATCATGGGTCGGAGGGGAATGCTTGATGTTAGCTGGCAAAAACTTTGTTTACATTTCCAAAGAACATGGCTGAGGTTCATTTTATTCACTTGTGCCTTGGCCTCTGCCTGTCGGTCTGATAACGTGGGTGAGAGAGGTCTGGAGGCCGACTGTCCTCTACATTTCCATATCTCTCCATAGCTCCATATCGCTCTGCGTTCACAAAGACACACACCTTTCTCATTGAACTATATCCTGCCCTCATATTCAGTTTCATCTCGGCTGACATGTAAGACATTGTGATAAAATAATCATCTGTTAATACAGGACTGTCAATTTATTGGTCAGGCTCTGGCGTCAACTTATTAACCCTCAACAAAGTAGACAGCGGTGCCTCATGAGAAAATGGTATCAATACACCATTAAAACTGCATATTGTGGATAGCTATGGATCTTGCAGTGATGAGGAGCATTTAAACAGTGAAGTTCATCCCCATATGTCTGTCAGCAGAAGTTTAATTATTAATATATATGGTAAAGTTATGAATGCGATGTTAAACGGCAGATGCTGCATTTTAGGACAAACACCAGCCGCTTCGTGTCAGTCACAGTTGTGGTGGAGAAGTTGACGGCCGTGACGGCGGAGTTGGTGACTTCTCACAGACTTCGCTGTCACCCAGCCTCCTGCCAGGCAGCTCAGGCAAAGCCGGCTGGCATGAAATATGATGCTCTGCATTTCAGCCTGGTTGAGGTGGAGTCTTTGCACTATGGAATAAGGGGCCGCCTAAAGTGCGTGTGACAGCAGAAGAGGCAGCTGAGTCCCAAACATGCTGCAGCTCACAATAAAGGGAGCGAACAATGCCCGCTGATACAAACATGGAGTGAGTGAAGGCAGATGAAACCGTGAGTGAAAAGTATAAAAGAAGTGTATATCAGTGTCTTTGTGACTACATGCAGTAAAGCAGCCCACCCCCTGCTGAGGTGAGCTGACAGTGGAGGTCCAGCTATCAATCATTGGGAACGAGATTCCACCAGGAGCATGTGGCTTTCCAACCATGTGAAAAAGTAAAAGAAGAAACATGTTACTCTTTCATCCTCAATTTCTCTGTCTTTTTGTTACCTTGACACGGATCTGAACTGCCTCAAACATCTGTGCCATCTCTTACTTGTCCCTTCAGAGTGGTTCCCCTTTGTATTTCCACTTCCTTTACAATATTATATCAGTCCAGTATTTACTATATACAGTGTAATTTCACATCCTCCTCTCTTTTTGTATAAAAACCTAAGAATAGTGAGGTGCCAACAGGCAGTGAAACATTTCCCTGACCTGCTTCCAAATCTATCCTGACATCCCAAATCTCCACGTCCCTCCGCGTGTCTCGCTCTCTCATTCATAACTGTGGGCTGCAGAGACGGAGGCACCACCCTTGTGACCACATACTGATTGCAAAGGGGAAGAAAAAATCCAACTGCAGCGACAAAGCACTCTGCTCGCATCACATGACGGGGCTGGCTTCCCAATATCCATCATCAGAGGCAGTGGTAGATGGTAATGTGTGTCAGTAGCAATTATGGTGATCCAGAGAGACTTCAGACAACCCTCTTTTTCCTTTATCTAGATACAGTATATCTTGCAGACTAAATGTTGACAATTACTCATTATGGACAAAATGGCTGAAAAAGGGGGGAGGACGACTTGACCAGCTGCAGCCATGTAAATGCCTCTATTTAAGCAAAAGAGGTGAGGCTTGGTGGAAATCAAAGTAAAACTAATCTCCAACCACATGAAGAAAAACAGAATGAATCTGCAGACAATATAGTCTAGAGACTAAGAGTCAATGGTAATAGCTCCTGCAGGCTGCACTGGGCTAAATGCTAATATCAGAATGCTAATATGCTCCCAATGACAATACTAACATGCTGATGTTTAGCAGGTATAGAGTTTAACACGTTCATCACCTTAGTTTAGCATTTTCGCATGCTAAAACTTGCTTATTAGCCACCAAACACAAAGTGAAGCTGGGGCTGATGGGAAGGCTATTAGTTTTCCAATGGTAATCCATCCAATAAATATAGAATGATGCAGAGGACGTATCACCTGGGTGATCACTTAGGCGATACATCCTCTGGGAACCATGAATATCTGCAACAAATCCCTATATTGAGATATTTCACAGTGAAAACTCTGACATGCTGACAGCACTAGAGGAAAAACCAGGCTGTCACCAAGAACAGTGGGAAGCATCCTGTGGGGACCATGAATGTCATGGTAATCTATCCAATAATTGCTGAGATGTGCCACTAGGTGCATGCGCAACCGTGAACATGTTTTGTTGAGAAAACTCAATTTTGCCAGGGGTGAGAACACCACCAGGCCTGTGTTGAGACAAAACCTCTGCATGTGTGATACCACTGGAGGCCTTTTGTTTCTCTTCAATAAAAAAGTGTGCATGGCTGTTCCAAATAAAAATGTCATAATATTTGTGTTGCTTCCAGTTAATGAATTGTAAATACATTAACTCCAAAGTTGAAATTTCAGGCTTAAAAAAAACAAACAATTTGCAACATATTAAAACGACAAGAAATAAATGTATATACTGCCACTTTCCATGATATAAACTGATGTAAAATTGGGGCCATAACGCCCACCACTAACCTTAGGCAACAAAAGAGAGCACAGTCAGACGAGAGAGAGGGAGACAGAGTGCATGCATTCATGATGAGAAAGCCTGAATCATCAGGGCTCATTGTGCCAACACTTGAGTAAAAGAGTGACCAGGCCATACATGCCGCTGAAGCATGAAGGTACTCTACATCCACATACTACACTCAGCGCCCTGGTTGCCATCACCTGAATAGACATTCATAATCAATTTTCTGAACAGCTTTGAGAGCGGGACGAATGAAAAAGGGAATGTACTTACTGTTTGACAGATGATGGGGTATTTGATTCGATTGATGCCGCCGGCAAACACAGCGAAGGTCAGAGCCGTGTGGAAACAGAAGTTGAGAAGCATATGCCATCCCTTCCGACTGATGCGGATTGCGCTGCCATAAAAGACCAAGAACCAAAAAATTAGCAAGTACATACCATAAAGTAAAATCTCATTGAGATTCAGTTTTCAAGGTATATTACCCATCACTTATGATTTAAGCCGGTCTTTTTACAAGGTCCGCATAAAGCGCCCTTTTCTTTTACCTTGCTACGGCCATATAAATTAACAACCACAGGAGAGCCCCGGAAATGCTGCTCATAGACTCTGAGTAGTACAAACAAGCCATTACATCCTCCACTGCCAATGCAGGTGCTGATTAACAGAATATTTTAAAGTACATTGAAAAAATGTAACCTTGGTTCAACTTTAAAAAGTAAGGTAATGAGTCACACTCAATATTTTCAAGTTGAGTGAACATAACCAACTCAGACTGATTTTTTTTTTTTTAAGTCAAGGCACCATTTTACAGAGTAAGGGTAAAGTACATTAATAACTTTAATGGGCCTTTTCCCATTTAATTTTTACCACATTAAATAGCATAGCATACTATTGTATTGTATATCGTATTGTTTTCATTTAACAAGCTTTGCAAGCTCATTGTGAGTGATACAGCATATGTGTCTGGCTGAGGACACTCGCGCATTGAGACAGGGAGAAGCAGGATTTTTGCCATCAAATCATTGAGCCTAGACTGGGGAGCATCATCATCATCAACAACAAGGTCAGTCAACATCAACCAAGCACACAAATTCACTCATGGTCTAACCACATTCACTCCTAATGATTAACTGTCTCGCAGTAATGGCACTGTGGCACATCACACCATTAACAAAGCACAAACACACAGTACATCAGACTTACGCCCATCGGACGCTACATTATAAACTCCTGCAAAATGCAACATTTTGGTGTTACTACAAGAATAAACAGATTGTTGTAGACTCTTGGACTTGCAAAATAATTGAATGAACAACAACACTGTTTTACTTTTTCCATGTATCTTGCTTGATTTTTATGAAACAGCTCATTGACTCAGTAAAAAAGGTCAAAATGTGAACATTAACTGTTTTTTGTATTTACTATATGACTGCTATTTGCTAAAATGAATAAGAACTGTCTTGCATTTTGTTTCTGTTTGTACAGCTACTGTGTGGAAAAACAAATGATTTCCTCACAAGATTTCTTTATGAAATAAGATAGGAAAGAAAATTCAGAGAAGGTCTATGACATTCAGTGACGGAGGAATAATGGTTATAGAAAACTAATTTCAAATCTTCAGAGAATGAAAAGAAAATTATAAAAAAAGAGAATCAGTTTTAAGAAAAAGGAAAAGAATAATCCTCAGTTGACAAAATGGTAACACTTCCAACAAACTGTATAATCTTTATTTCAGAATGATGGACCTCAGGCAAAGAGCTATTCACAGATTCTAGTAAGAGCTCACTGTGTTATTCACAGTGCTGTCTTCCTACACAGCTCTTTAACCCACTTTCACACATACAGTACATGCAGTGGTATATGCACAACTAGGAATCACTGCTGGTTTGATGGTGAAATAAAAAGACACTGCTTCCACATGACTGGGCCAAATGAAGTTTTCACAATGTAAAACAATGCAATTGTATACACTTTGTGAAATATAGTGTCAGCCAGGGGGTTATGCAGCCTTGGGCAGGGCACTTAACCCACATTACCACTTTCCATCCAGCTGTGTTAGAAGATAGAATAAATAGGTCAAACAATACCAACATAGATGTCTTACTGTGTGAATTAACAGGCCATCGATTCTTTTAATCACTTCCCCGTGTCAGATCCATCTGTTTAATCTGTACAGTCACTGTCACCATTTGAAATTATATAACCCTTTGCTGGAAATCTCCACTCCCCAAAATGGAGGAGCGGAGCCCCGGCTGCACGTGAGCCAACTGTAGATGAAGCAGTGGCTCAGCAGTGAGCTATGAGGCGTGTCTGGGGCTGGGCTTCACTGCTCTGCGTGAGGGGAGGGAGAGTTAAAGCTGCTGTTGTCGATGCCTCTGCCGCGGTCCAGGTACTGAACTCCATCCAGCAAAGAGGCCATAAATCAGGCCAGCTCCTGGCCTCCCTGGAAGGGGGTTTTCATAGGCTCTGCTCTGGGCTTTCATTGGGTCAAGTACATTAACCTGGCAACCCTCCATATCCCCATCTCCCAAAGGGTATGGGGGGAATAAAACTGTCCTCTCTCTGCATCTGCTCTCTCACCCTGCACCCGCTGCTGAGCCAACTGTATGGGACAATAAAGCTATGGACAGTATAATATTACACATTATACAGTGGTTAATTTTAGCCAAGTAATTTCACCGGTGAAAGACCCGTTCCAAACACGCTGAGAGTCCCATCAACCATAGGTAGCAGCACCCGTAGCAGCAGCTTTACATGGACAAATGGAAGTAGCTGTATGCTAATGATGATAGAGAACAGGGAGTAACATTACAGTAGGGCTGAGCTCTATGGTTGAAATCAGTCACATCACATGAAAAGAGTTTCCTGATACCAATATATACCTTATATCAATACAGCAAATCACATCAAACAATCAAATGTTCAGTGTAATGAACTGTGTCCCACTGCTCCATGTTAGTGTACATCATTTTTTTGGTTACTAGGGGACGACAACAAGCTAGAAACACGATATAATATTAGCTATTATAAAGTTGCTATGAAAATTGTTAATAAACTGCTGCCTATTTATATATGCAGTAGTAATATCAGAATCCATTTTGAGTCATGTAGGAAGAAAGTCCAATCTTTTGAGTTCTGTTTTGTTCTCCACCAACTCCTGACAAAGATAACTGGTTTCTGTTGCAGCTAATCTGTGTGACATTTGGTGCTGAGCTGTGAGACTGAACCAAAGCTGATAGATGATATAACTGAATTATCCCCCAGCTCTACAGTATCTATTGTTTTTTCTTGCTGTGTTCTCATGTCGACTATTTTGTTGGTTGCCATTATCAACCAGAACACGCTGCCTGTTTAATTACAGGCTTATGATGCTCGATTCCTTATTTGAGTCAAATTAAAAAAAAAAAAAAAAAAGGTTGTTGTCATTTTTTTGATTTCAATGTTTTTTTTTTCCTTTTTATTGGATCCATTACAAGTAATTGAAGATTTTCCCATCAAAATTCCCATCATGCTTTGGCTGCCATGGAGAGGGCTACACCTGAGCCCCTGTTTATCAGCCTATACAGTATGTCTTTACATTTGTGGTAAATTTACACCATGAAAAGCCATGCTGTATAAGCTGCTGACAACTTCTATCACCATAACAACCAGATGACAACCAACTGCATTACTTTTTTATACAGATAGCAGTCATTCAAGCTGATAAGTGTGAGGTAATCTGAAGTCAAGGACTGTCCTTTAATATGGATTCTAAGTGGGTTTATGGCTGTTTATCGTTGTCGAACATCTATGATTGAAAAGAGTGAGCTCCTCTGAATCCAGCAGTATGTGTATGACATCAGTGTTTCCCATTTTGACTGAGTCATGACTGAGAAAACGTTTGACGCAAATTGCACCAAGAGGGTTCAAAGGATTTTGGTTTCAAAGACATGATACCCACTATGTTCTTTAGTTGGCTCATACATCATGCATCACCACTGCACCAATAATCACAGCCTATCTTGGCTTAGCTTACTGGCAGAGAAAGAACCAACGGCATATACTGTATGCATAAATTTATGCATGTGTGTGTGTGTGTGTGTGTGTGTGTTAGCGAGCTGAAGTGAGAAAGAAACAAATTCAAACATGCGCTATCTGCTGTGCCTGTCCTTGAACAGCCTCCCTCGCAATCTGCACATTTAACACACAGTTCACGGCTTGGATACTGTCAGTCATCTGGAGTGATACTACACAACTCAAGTGTTACTAAACAGAGATGTGTTTTAGAGCTGGGGAGTGCCTAGAGGGAGGTGTGGAAGAGGAGGATGTGCTGGAGTTTGTTAATGTGAGCGCCTTGCAAAGAAAAACCCTCGAACCCTCCCCTGTGAGTGACAGGCACCACAAAAGCCTCAGCTTCATATCTTAAACATAGGCTTGTTCTCGCTCTTAGTTTGGACTGGAATTAATGTCTTTTTGCTCTGAAAAGCGCTCGGTGATGAATAAGTGTGTCTGCATGTGTTTAAGCATCCTGCTTACAATCAGGTTATAAGAAACCTGTATACGCTAGCGGGAGCGCTCTGATCAGGATACTGTTGCATGTCAACGCTCTCCAGGTGTCAGATCAGATTCTCTGCCATTCTCACAGGCACAACTCAAGTCATGGAGTGGTCCGCCAGTTAAACAACAACTATGAAGGTGAGTGATGTAACAGTGAAATAAAGGGAACACGTGGCTTAATGCAGATCATAAATTTTATTGTGGTTTTTGTAGGCGATAAGCTGCAGAGGCTAAATCCAACTTAGAAAGGACCATAAACCTGGATACTGTTACAATTATGTAGACAGGGATATGAATAACCACGTCTCTCTTGTTTATATAAACACCAGATAGCAAATATGATCAAAATCAGGGTAAGACCAAGCGGCAACCTCTGGGGCTGAAAAAACGAAAGCCAACATGGAACTGCCAAAAACTGCAATTGTTTGAATGGCTGCTTGAGTCTGGCTCCAACAGTGAGTCAATCCCCAGAGACTCCCATGTCCAAATGTCCAACTTTACAGCAGAAATGAACGTGTTTACAGCCTGGTACACAACACGGTTTTAGTCTCTATAGCTAATTTCTCCCCTTCGTGGCAAACGTACGATAACAGTAAATTTATGTATAATTGAGGGGGTGTCGCTTTGAGTGACAGGTGGATGAGCGTATGCTCGCCACAAACCAGCATGCACCGAAGTCTGGGCTCCACACACGCCCCACCACTTTGCCCAATTTCGGATTAACCAGGAGTTAGGTGGAGTCACGCACTGGCAAGATAGTGACCCTGGAGCAGCTCACTGAGAGCTTCAAAGCTGCTCTTCAGAAACCTAAGGGTGATGTCACAGAGACTACGTCCATCTATATATACACTCTGTGGGTAATACTCAAAACATGGATAGTAATGTGTATGTAAACATACTCATCATGTTTGCTCTGAAAGTAATATTAACAGATTTGCAAGAGGGCCTCACCGCATGATCATATGATTAAATAATAATTTACAACAGCAATGTGTCTCCAATATAACTTGTAATGGGGTTGTAAGGTAAAGTTAAGATGAAATGTAGATCTTAAGACGCTGGATCTTGTATTGCAACACAGATCGTCCTGTTCCTCAGTTGTAAAATATGTTTGACAGTCTAGTCCGTCATGTGTCAACTACAAATCATATCAAACACTCATAACTGTGTTACTTTACAACAACTACAGTTTATCACCTATAATATTTAGTTAAAGATTAATTTTAAAAGATTTTCTTAAAAGATTTTCTCTATGTTTTATCTTATTACTATTCCTAATTAATATGTCTTTAAACTGTGAATTATGGCTGCACATTGTTTTTTTACATTCAGTTTCAGTTTTGAGTTCAGCTGAGTTTTAAAATGGCCAGGTGTTTGGTGCTTGGAAACTGTTGACATTTTTAGTTGTATCAAAAATCTCAACTCAAATTTGAAATTGCTCCTGCCTCCAGCTCAGCTTTCAGTTTTTCCATCATTCAGTGCTGCAAGGCTAGACGACAGAAAGCGGCGTTGCTGTTTGAGGCTCCAGATGCTGTCGTTGCTGTCTGACTGCAGAGGGATGCACCCAGTCTTCATCCCTGGTGTCACAGATGGATGCAAACTGCAAATGCTGCTCATACGGTTTCACAAATTTTGCGCTTTAGTCACAGTTAAGGACAAAAAAAAAAAAAAAACATAAATAAAACCAAAGATTTCGGTCTGAAAAAAATATCAGTGAATCTTCAATATTTCAATGAGAATGTGACGTTTGAGACATTTCCTGTTTTCGTTTATATTAAAATGGATGGAGAGCTATTACAATAATACCACATTAATGCCACGGACATGATAAAGTGACTAATGGTCTACCAGAACAACAGATGATGAATTGGCGCGCTGAAATAATACGCCACTCTACGCCTGTCTCCCTCCTGCTTTAATAACAGCATCCACAGCAGATGAACCTAAGTGGAGCAGACAAATGCCACAGTGCAAAACCACAAGAGCCACACGGTGCATTCAATGTCCTCATCTCCATATGGGATGAAAGGAACAAAGGTGGCCTAAGTACCCAACAGAAATCCATTTGAAGCATATATTTCTGCTCTGACGGTCTGAAACACGCACGCACGCACGCACGCACGCACGCACGCACGCACGCACGCACGCACGCACGCATCTGTCTGTGTGTTTTAGATCCTCTTAGTCAGACAGGCTGCAGTGCTTTACGCCAGCCTAAAGCATCTGACTCACATCACAGTCAGCCTAGGATCTGTGACAGAGAAGTCAAAAACAGATTGTAAACCATCAAGGTAAAAAAGGTGAGAAATGAAGAGATTACATGAGCGTCTGCCCGAGTGTCCATATGGAGAAATAAAGTTCAGGGCTGGGATTTCAAATTAATGCTCAATAGGTTTAAATGTAAAGAATCAAAGTGGTGATTTCCTCTTACCTGTGGTGCACTATGTACGTGATGATGGAGGCGAAGAGGCAGAGCAACATGACCGCCGTGCAGGCATACACGACCGGGTGCAAAAACTCCCCAGGGTATGGGGGGAAAGACAGCACCTTCTTCAGATCCTGAGGCAGAGAAAAGAGAGAGAGAGAGAGAGAGAGAGAGAGAGAGAGAGAGGAGAACTGGGCATGAGACAAAAGCCGTCATCAATACAGCATCATGAAAATAATCAGTGAGCAAGAGCTACGCCGGCACAGTGACAGCGTTTCCAACAATCCACCCAAAGACAAAGATGATGAGCGCTATATATGCACAGGCTGAGCATAGTGCGCCGACGAGATATACAAGCAAAATACAAATGAATGTCAAGGAAATGTCTTCAAGTTAGAGCGCTGTCCAAATCAGCATAAAAGAGTAACAACCCTGTCGAGTGAATATACCCCCCCCCCGCCGCCGCCGCGCGCCGCATTACATTTTTGCATTTCAGGCATTTAGCTGACACTCTTAGCCGGAGCGATTGAATGCAACAATAGCATAAGCCTCCTAGTCTGCCAATATAAAAAGCAAAACAAAAATGGATAGGTGCCAGGCAAAGAGGGAAGAAAAAAAGAGGAAAAGCAAACAAAGTTAAGTCGCTTTTTGTGGCTCTAAAAGACACATTGTTAACAGAGGCTCATTAAGCCCTTATCAACATCACAGTCGATTTGCTTTGTAATATATTCTACAGTCTACAACACCAACTTCTTCTGCTCTTACAGCACACGCTGTGACAGCTACAGCGTCAAACTCTCAGAGCACAGACAACTTTTTGAATACTTTATTTTATCACTGTATCTGTTAGCTTGTATTATGAGACAAAACAAGCTATTGTAAAATCAGCACGCTCACTTCTCATGCGCTTGACTGCCGCCCCCCCCTCCACTCTGTGCCACAGGCAGGTGTAGAGCCCACAGTGACGTCACGATTTAGCCTCCATCATGTTGACGCTGCTAAATAAAGCGCACCTTATCTCCATAACCCCAGCAGCTCAGTGTGAGTTTGTGTCTGCGAGAGTGATCCACATACACGCTGTCTGACTCCATCATTGTCTCGGTGAGTAGCCAAGTGGGATATTCTCTCTCCGTGTTTATCCAAAGGCTGATGAGCCTGTCGGGGCCTGCGAGGGGTCGTGACCTTCAGCTGAGCATTTCTAAGCGCAGTTGTAAAGTAGTGGCCTGAGCTGAAATTAGAAGTTTAGGGGAACAGGACACTGGGGAGTTGTACAGCAAGAGAGTATGTGGTAAAGACACTGGTCTCTTTATTTTTAGAGGTATACGTAGTTATTGCTCTGATGATGTTGTGCCATTTCCCAGAATTCACTTGGTCTTTCCTTGGATTACTTTGTGTATGTATTCTTAAATTTGGTTTGCATTCTTTGCTAAATGCCCACATCTTTAATTTAGCATCCATCCATCCATCCATCCATCCATCCATCCATCTATCCATCCATCCATCCATCCATCCATCCATCCATCCGCAGACAGCAAAATGAAACTTCTGGCCCAACATAGGCCTGGGTCCTCAGCCCAAGTCTGGCCCATATATTTCCACATCTTGGCAGATTCCAGCTGCAAGATTTTCTGTGTGTGTGCGTGCCAGAAGTGGTCCAAATGTGGATGTAGCATCTGACAATCATGCCGTATATGGGCCGGATTTGGGCTGTGGAACCGGATACTGCATACTGGACCGGAAGAAAACAACCACGTGGCTCAAGGTACGGGCCGGAATTATCCTTTACAGGGTCTGGAGCCTTTTCCAGCTCACATTAGAGTGAGAGGCATGGTTCTTCACAGATCTAACACACACACACACACCATATACGTATAGGACCATTTAGTCTCACATTCACACCCTCTCCCACAAAAATCATTGTCTAAACATATACAAAGCTTAGCAAAAATAAACTTGGCACAGCAAGCCCATCAAGCTTTGGATTTCATTACAAGTTGAAGCGGTGGGTTTGGATGGTGGTGATGCTTCTTTGCCTTTTCAAGACCGAAACATGCAAAACAAAAGCAAAACTGTGAGGAATGAATTAAGCAGCGTGTTTATATGCTCTAATGTAAGCTGCAAACAGCTTGTTTTAGTCAATCAAATATAAATATATTGATTAGACATATACCAATTAGCTATACCTGTGTGTGCTGGAGCCTATCCCGGCTGGCATCGGGCGAGTGGCGGTGAACAGCCTGGATAGGTCACCAGTCAATCACAAAGCTTACATACGGCGACACACAACCACTCACACATATTTTCATACCTATGGGCGTACACCAGTCAAAACACCCTCGTTTTCTAGTTGTTACTGAAATGTACAGTGTAATGTCTCAGTGTTTCTGAAATTTAAGAACAGAACAAACATAATAGAGTTTGATAAAAAAAAAAAGGAATCATGGAACCTTAAATCCTAGTATTTTTCACTCATCCAGCAGCTGAACACACTCGTGGGCTTCTTTCCACAACGGAAATCAAATATTGTTCTGAAAAGTTTGGCAAAACACATCTGCAGAGGCTCCCACAGATGTGTAGCACCCGCAGGTTGCTTTTCATTCACCTTAGTTCCAGTTCATCCCAAACCAGCTCCATCAGGTTTAGGTCTGGAGACTGTGCTGGTCTTCCATCATGTGAAGCCATGTCTGGTTCTTTAGTTCTAAAATTTCGGGTCATCATCACTCTGTCTTTCTTTGTTACTTGCCCTTTTCTCACCTTTCTGATAGCAACATACAGACCTACTTCCTGCAGTACAGTATTGTCCTAATGATGCTTCAGAGGACATAGTAACAGTTTGTTCCAACACTGACTTTGTACAGAGGGTTTGTAAGTCATCAACCTGGTTCGCTTCAACTTTCAAGGCTTCATTTACATCTATAGTTGCAGGGAAGCTGTAAGTTAACCAATTTCTTGAAAACTGTTTTCTATGAAATGCTTTTGCTTTTACCTTGTTACCTTTGTAACATTTACAATCATTAACTGACTTGAAATTCACAATTTTCAATAAAAACTGGAAAAATGGGCGTGTTCTAAAACTTTTGACTGGTGGTGTTCCTATGGAGTACCCAGAGAACATGCAACCTTCACACACAAAGGCCTGAGGTGTCCGGTGGGTTTGAACCCGGACCCTTCTTGCTGTGAGGCAACAGTGCTACCAACTGCACCTCCTTGCTGTTGGCTGCCTTTAAAGCTTTTATACTATAACTATAATATCTCTGAGGAACTGTTCTTGCCAAACTGAAAAGTGGTGGAAGAAAAATCGTGATGATCGATCTTTCAAAATACAGGCAGTTATGACTTTTCAGCTCGTAGCTTGGCCAGGTAGTCAAAAAAAAAACGACAAGACGGAGGGATTGAGGAAGAACTGGAGAGAAAACTGCAATTAGACCTGAGCAATAAAACATATCATCATTTCCATACCATCACGGCAGCACACAGATAGAGGAAGAAAAACATATGAGGCAGAGGGAAAGAAAGAAAGAACAGTGAGAGAGTGGGCCTTGTGGGAGTTAAACGAAACATGACAAACACATTCCAACATTGTAAACAGCTTCACGTAATTTAGCTGTTACAGATTTACAGGGAATTATTAAGTTTATATTTGTCCTCGGAGCGATGTCATGGAAGGACAATGAAAGCTGGTGTTAATTACAGCTCAATGAATTGATGTTGCTGAAATTTAAAAAAAATAAAATAAAAAAAATCACGGCCTGAAGCATCAGCAAGAAATCCTGCTGAAATGAAGCTTTTAAGTCAGTAAGCTGATTTATATACTTAAAGAGCAAACAGCACTCCATAGGAGTTCAGATCATGAAAAATTACCCCACACACAAACATCAACTCGACTAAAGGTCAAAGAGAAAAACGTTTCAGAGGGAATCAAGTTGCTGCATTGATAAAAACTAAATCGTGCTCAGACATATTGAACAGTTAAATGTGATGCTAAGCGCCGCATGGTGAGTGACAGCAGCTACAGTTAAATGGCTTTAGGTGTGAGGGAGGAAGTCAAACGCTCTCATGAGACGTATTACCATCGTCGCCGGGCTTATAATGTTGGCTCTCGCCTCCAGAGTCTTTAACCGTTTCTCACCCCAACAAATAAAGCTGGCCAGCCCACAGCTGCGCGCTGAGCTGCTTTTCTCAAAACCCCTAAGACGTCATGCATCTTGGAAGTGTTTCCTCACAGAACCACATGAGTACTAAAACGTGGTACATTGGCATCACGAAGTATAAACTGTGCAGCAACTCTGAATGCTACTGCTAATTTAAAAAAAAAAAAAAAAAAAACACACATTAGAAACAGCTTTTAGAAATTGAATTTTAAAAGCTTTAGAGTATTTCTTTGTTTTACTTTTTTTATTCACGTCCCTGTTCACCATGTTTTCACTGTTTTAGCTGCTCCATTACTGTCGAACACTGCGTTGTGAGACAGTAGAGTCCATTAACACAAAAGTCGAAAATTAAGCAAATTTTAGCATGCTTGCTGGCATTTTTGAGCATACTTAACTTGTTAGCATTTTCACTGTGAATGGGCTCGATACTTGAAACACATTTGTTTTGGTTAGTATCATGCAAATTGGATACTGGTTAAAAGCCTAAAAGCCCTGCTAACGACAGCATGTTCTGTTCCCAGTATCCAGCTGCACCAAGACAGGCTAACATCTCCATCGTGGCTGAGCTGTCGATAGTGAAGCTAAAAATCAGGTGTGGAAAGATCTTCATATCTGAACAGCAGGGCAGGACATTCACACACAGGGCCTGCTGAGGTCTGGATTTACTGCTGTAGGAGATATTAGCACCTTCAGTGATGGGTCAATCCCTGCTACTCTCAGTTACCTGTAAAGAACTGACAGTTTGCCTCCAGGAAGGCAGAGACTGCTTATGAGCAGTGTTTAAAATAAGGCAGCTTATCTGTTTGTTTTTATATATATGAATGAATGATTGAGAGTAATTCATCGCTTTTTTACGTTTCATACAGTATTTTGCTCTATATATTGACACTAGAGCTGAAACTCTTAGTGCTTTAACTGATACATCAATCAACTCATCAATTCTAAACCAATGATCTTCGGATTTTGGATGATTGATTGGCCAA